TGAATATTACCTACAACAGGGCCTGAGATATAGCAGAGGTTCAAAAAAACATTTCAGGGTGAGCAGATGAAGGAATGAAGTAAGGATGAATCACTGTGTAAGAGCTAAGAGTCACTATGCCTGAAGTCACATCTGGCTGTCACTTGCTGCTGTGGAGCCTTAGCTAAAGCCATTCACATCTTGTAGATGAGTTTCCTTCTCAAGAAAACAGAGTCCATGGGAGCCCTCATAATTGCTACTGGGGCTGTAAATATTCACTTGTGGAAAACAATCTGGAATTTTCTTTCTTTCTTCCTTCCTCCCTTTCTTTTTTAGTGACATTGAGGTTTGAACTGTAGCATCATGCTTGCCAGACAGGTCCTCTACCTCTTGAGCAACCCCCAGCCCTTTTTCAGCTTTAGTTATTTTTCAAATAGGATCTCCCAATCTTTGCTCAGGCTAGCCTTGGGCAAAGATCCTACTACCTCTGATTCCTGAGTAGCTGGGATTACACATGCACACCTTCACCCCTGGCACCAATCTGGCATTTTCTCAAAAAAGTGAAGTACAGGCTTCTCACCCAGCCCAGTAATTCTGCATCTAGAAATCTGCTCTTGAGAAATGAAAAAAAAAAAGTCTACACAAGGACATATCCACACGTGTTCATAGTGGCACTAATCAAACAGTCAGAGTGGAAACAACCCAGAGACCCATCAGTAATGAGTGGATAAATAAAATTCGGTCTATCCATGCAAGGGACAATTATTCAACCAATGAAGGGAAAGAGGTACCAATTTATAGTGTGGATGGACCTTGAAGACATCATGCTAAGTTAAAGGAGGCAGCCACTAAGCCTCAGACTGTATGAGTCCATGTGCATGAATGTCCAGAATAGGTTAAGGCCATAGGACAGAGAGTAGAACAGTAGCTGCCAGGAGCTGATGGTGGCTATGGGAGTGACTATTAATAGGTACACTGTAGTAACAGTTGCACAACTCTATACATTTATTAAAAATCATTGCACACTTAAAATAGGTGAATTCTATAGTATGTAAATGACACCTCAAGAAACTGCTTAAGAAAAAACCAAAATCAGAGCCCATCATAATGTCTAGTTTATGGGGCTGTTGTGAAGATTAAATGAAATCATCTGGGTAATCTCCTTAGAAAGAAATGGAGGGCCAGGCACCTGCAGTTCATACTTATAATCCTCAGAGATCAGGAGGATCACGGTGCAAAGCCAGCCTGGGCAAAGTTTGTCAGACCCTATCTTGAAAAAATCCATCAAAAAAGGACTGGTGGAGTGGCTCAAGGTGTAGGCCCCGAGTTCAAATCCCAGTACTGAATAAAAAAGAAAAGAAAAAAGAAATAGAGATAGCATCTGGGCACCAGTGGCTAACACCTATAATCCTAGCTATTCAAGAGGCAGAGATCAGGAGGATCAAGGTTTGTAGCCAGCCCAGGCAAATAGTTCATGAGACCCTATCCTGAAAAAAAAAAAAACAAAAACACTAAAAGGGCTGTTGGAGTGGCTCAAGGTGAAGGCCCTAGTTCAAATCCCAGTGCTGGATAAAAAAAGAAAGAAAGAAATGAAGGTAGTTGAGCATGACGGTGCATGTCTGTAATACAAGCTACTTGAGAGATGAAGGTAGGAGGATTACAAGTTCCAGGCCAGCAGGGGCAAAGGTAGTGGTAAGACCCTGTCTCAAAACAAAATACAAAATGAAAGGACTGGGGGTGTGGCTCAAGTAGTAGAGCATTTGCCTAGCAAGCTTGAGGCACTGAGTTCAATCCCCAGCACCCCAAAAAGGGGGGAGGACACATTCAAGATATGGGTATTATTATTATTTTATTTTTTGACAGTACTGAGGTTTTAACTCAGGGCTTTGCACTTGCTAGGCAAGTGCGCTACCACTTGAGCTGCTCTGCCAGCCCTTTTGTGTGTGTGTGTGTGTGTGTGTGTGTGTGTGTGTGTGTGTGTGTGTGTATTGGTATTTTCAAAATAGGATCTTGTGAACTATTTCTTGGGGCTGGCTTTGAACCATGGTCCTCTTGATATCTGCCTCCTGAGTAACTAGAATTACAGGTGTGAGCAGCCAGTGCCCAGCTAAGGTATGTGTATTATTAAGTATGGGTTTTGAACTCAGGGCCTCATGTTTTCTAGGTAGGTGCTCTACTACTTGAGCCATGTCCTCAATCCTTTTTGCTTTAGCTATTTTTCAGAAAGGGTCTGGAGTTTTTACCTGAACCAGCCTCAGAGATTTTCCTACTTCTATCTCCTGTATAGCTGGGATTAGAGACATGCACCACTGTGCCCAGCTGTTGTTTCATCCTTACTAACAATTGTGTTTGAGATCACATATGTAAAATGCTCAGCACAGCAAAAGACAAGTGATAGAGTTCAATTCATGAGCACCATTGCTACCTCAACCATCATCATGCATCTGTCCCATGTGTCCAGGTCTCAGTTTTTTTCACCTGCAAAATGGGCTGCACTTCTAAGCCCTTTCTCTCCATAAATTCTGTGCTTTGTTCTGGAAACATTTCTCTTCCAGTACAGCAGGTTCTGTGTGGAGAAGGGAAAGGTGGGGCTCACAGTGAGGGGGTGGGACCCTCAGGGAGTCAATGGAAAGAGGGCTGAGTATGGGTTGTGTGTGGAGGAGGTGGTGAGAGCTATGTTGACCTGGAGTTTGATCTCAGGTCTGCCATTGTGTAGCTGTGGGATCTTGGGCAATGGCCTTTCTCTTTGGGTCCTATTTCCACTGCAAAGCAGGGCAATGTTTCCTACTTTCTAAGGGGGTGACAGGATTCCCTAACATCATGTATGCATTGTGTACAATTCAATATACATCAGCCTGGAAGAATAACAAAGCAACAATAGCAGCTGCGCACCATCTCCCCCAGCTGCCCGGCACTGTGCAACCTCCTCACAAAATAGCTTATTTGCTACAAAAGGACAATTGAGCTGGGGGTGTGGCTCAGTTGTAGAGCACTTGCCTGGCATGCCCAAGGCTCTGGGTTCAATCTCTAGTACTAAAAAAAATTAGTGCGAAGGGACACTGACTGAAGTAGTACAAATGACTTATATTTATCTCAAGTCTCAACTTATCCCTTCTTTAATTGGGGCTATAAAATCACCTCCCTTGACAGGTTTTGTCCATGACACTGTGCTAAACAGGTGTCTGGCCACAGCAGGTGGTAAGAAAATAGCTGCCCTCATTTGCATATGGTAATAGAGAGTCACAGAGGTGGGTGGGTAGTGACTTTGATATAATAAAGGCATATTCCAGATCCCTCATGATCCCAATACTAGACCTGGGGAATCACTCTCATTTGTGCCAATGTTTACTTATAACCTATCTCCTGATCTGGCCTGTCACAAAAGAAAGAGCCCAGATGGCCTTGCCCAGTGTCTACCCTGACATCCAGCCCTGGGCTCCAGCAGAGGTAGTCAGAACTTTTCTAAGGGTTCTACATGGTGCACTAAGTTGTTGGTAAGGAGAATTCCTGGAAGCTTTGAGTGGTCATCACTGCCCCACCTCCCGGTGGTGTTATTACACTGGAGATACCACCTTCCATCTCTGGTGGAAAGTGGGGCTGATCTCGCTCCTCCCTGGCCTTTTCTTGCATGTGGGAAGACACCCAAGGACTCAGGGTTGCTGTTATTTACATAGGGCAAGAGAGCTACTGAAGGTGGTAGAGGAAAGTAGGATGTTAAAAGAAGGCAAGAGACAGGGTTTTGTTTTGTTTCTCTTTTTTCTTTTTTGGTGATACTGGGGTTTAAACTCAGGGCAACGAATTTGCTAGGTAAGCACTCTAGCACTTGAGCCACACCCTCAGCCTGTTCTTTTGCTTTAGTTATTTTTAAGGTAGGGTCTTGGAGTTTTTGCCCGAGCTGGACTCAGACCTTGATCCTCCTACCTATGCCCTCCTGTTAGCTGTGATCACAGATATGAACTATCACCCTTGGCTTATTGAGATGGGGTCTTGCTAACTTTTTACCCCCTCAGGCTGGCCCTGAACCATGATCCGCCTGATCTCCACCTTTCAAGTAACTGAGGTTATAAGGGTGAGCCACCGTGTGTAGCCTCAGAGAGAGTGATAAGGAAGAGTGACTGGCTTCCTTCCTCCTTCAGTCCTAGGGTCTAAAAAATGTATTAAAAAAAACCCACATACACACACAGAGTAGAGGATTTTTATAATCTGAAACTTCCCATCCCACCCCCAATTGCTAGCAGTTTCTCAAACATGTTATACCTGCCCTTCTCATGTCTTCACCCTTGTTCACCCTTTGCCTGATGCTCCCTTCTCCAGAGAATTCCTTTCATACCTGGTTCCTTCCATTTTCATTCAGGCCAAATGTCACCTCACCAGAGAGGCTCCACCTGCCAGGTTTACTCTGCCCTCATAGTGGATATTGATCTATTATCTAGAACAGTGCTGTCTACTAGAACTTTTCTAGTGGAATGCTCTAGATCTATGCTTTCCAGTATGACAGCCACCAGCCAAATGGTCTGTTTGGCTCTTGAAATAGTATGTGAGAAACTGAACTTTTCATTATATTTCATTTGAATTATTTTAAATTTGCTTATTCTAAGTTGAAACAAAATAGCCACATGTGGCTAATGGATACCATATTGGGCAGAAAAAAATCTAGACTATTCTATCACCACAAAAAGTTCTGTGGACCAGTTTAGCTCTATAGGATCCCAGCTTCTCCAGGGGAGAGGATTGGCTTCTTTCTCCTCAGTATCCTTCTATCTCCTGCTTAGCACCAGGCCTGGCAGAATAAGGCCTAGAAGCTGAATGAAAGCAGGGATTCTTCAGGGCCACCATGTTGGTAATCCATTTTCTCACACTGGTTTCTTGCTTGGCCAGGGTCCCATGTGCACTGGTGTGAATATCAGCATCCTTTCTTCTCTGAACCCAAGCCCAGAGCCTGTTGGACAAATCCTGACTCAACAAACAGCCTCAGACAGCCCCCCGGCCTCCACAGATGGCCTCACTCATGGGTTCACAAACTCACATTTATTCACAGACAGACAGAGGAACAGGGACAGACCTTTGCTCACTGGGAACCCCCAGGGTCTGGCAGTTCCAAAGAGGTGATGGTGTCCAGTGTGTATAATGGGGGACAGGCAGGCTGGGGCCAACCCACCAGTCTGCATCCCTCTGGCCAAATGTCCTCCGCCTCCTTTTCCAAGTTGTCCTGCCTTAAGACACGCATTGGGGTGAGCTGTCCCTAACTGTCATCAGGGGTCTAGGGGTGGGCAACAGGGAGGGTTGGAGAATTAGGGCCTCCTTTCTGTAGTGTCAAGGGCTTGAGGGGTAGATAGAGGAGGTATTTCTCCTTCAAATTCCCTCCTCCTTACTGCAAACCGGGAGCTCAATTGGAGGGGCGGACGATGGGTGGGAGGGTCAGGAGGCCAGGCCCCCCAATCCGCGCAGATGGACTTTGCTGTCTACCTCTTCTTCCTCCATCTCGAAGGCTGAGTGGTCTTGGCTGTCAAAACAGGAGGCGCTGAGGAAGACAGGGGGAGCCGGCGGAGACTGAGGTGGGGTCCCAGGGGAGGGCGGCTCTTCCTTGATGTGTGCGATGGCCAGAGGGAGCCCTTCTGCTTCCTGCTTCAGCGGCTGGGGTGAGGGCATGGCCTGGGCCTGGAGCGCCTGCAGGGCGGCGGCCCTCTCCAGCTCGGCTCTCTCCAGCTCAGCACGGTGGCAGCGTTGGTGGCGCAGGAGGCTGTAGGCTCTCGAGAAGCGCCGTGGGCACCGTGGGCACGGGTGCGGAGCCGGGCCCCCTGCGTGGACCTGTGCATGGCGGGCCAGGTCGGCCAGCCGCTTGAACTCCCGCTGGCAGCGCACGCACTGGAAGGGGCGCGCCCCGGAGTGGGTCACACCGTGTTGTCGCAGGTGTGCCCTGCGCCGGAAACCTTTGCCACACTCAGGGCACCAGAAGCGGGGCTCCCCCGCTGGGGGCCGGGCCGGGGCGGCATCTCCTCCGTTCTGCCCACCATCTCCCCCTTCGGAGGCACCCGCGCATTCCGCCCCTTCACCCCCCTCGGGCCCTTTCCCTGAGTTCCGTCCCCCTGAGGCTTTGTCGTCCTTCTTGGCTGCCCCAGGTAGTGGGGCCAGCAGGCTGAGCGGGCCGTGGACGCGGCGGTGCTGGCGGAGGTAGGAGGCGAGGCGGAAGGCCAGGCCGCAGTCTGGACACACGAAAGGGCGATCGGTGGAGTGGACCAGGCGGTGGCGCGACAGGGACCAGGGCCTGGCGAAGGCCTTGAGGCAGATGGAGCACTGGTGTCGCTTGGGGCGTGGAGGAGGCCCACCTTCGCCCTCCTGTTCGCCTTCGGGGCGCAGACACGGGTGCGCTTTGAGCTCTCCCTTGGTGGCAAAGGCTTCGCGACAGCGGAGGCACAGCAGTGTCCAATCGGCCTGGAGCAGGACCTGCTTCTCCTCCTGCCGTCCAGCCGCCAGTGCCAACTCGGCCCTCAGCTCCGCTGCCCCAGCCTCTGCCTCCTGCGCCTCTGACTGCCGGGGCTCCGCGCTTGTGGGGGCTGCTGGTGGGGCTGGCTCCCCCACGGGCCACGTCTCGGGCCACGCCGCCTCCTCCTCTGCGGCTCCTGCCACTGTTGTGGTGGGTTGCTCTATGCCCTCCTCCTGAGGACCCCAGCTGGATTCGGGCTCCTCCTTCACTGCCCTCTCGATGGCCAGCTCCACCTCGCCACCTGCGTGCTCCTGGGCCAGGTGGCGCCTAAGCTGCGCGGGCTCAGGGAAGGTGCGCGGACAGGCAGCGCAGCGAAGCGGGGGTTGGGGCCCGTGGCCACGCAAGTGGCGGGAGAGGTGGGCAGGCCTGCGGAAGGCTTTGGGGCACAGGGGGCAAGCATGGGGCCGAAGCCCCGAGTGGCTCAGCCGGTGCCGGGAGAGGTAGTAAGGGAAGCGGAAGAGGCGGCCACAGGTGGGACAGGGAAGCGGTGCCCGAGGAGCTCCAGCGCCCCCCCTGCCACGACCACGGCCTCGACCACGACCTCGGCCACGGCCACGGCCTCGGCCACGGTGAGGTGGGCTGCCCTGGGCCGGTGGAGGGGGCTGCGGATCCATGCCTGCGGGGAGAAAGAGGAAAGGTGGGGGGCGGGGGGAGGCAAAGATGAAGGGAGGAAGGTGGGGTGTGGCAGAGAGATGCAGAGGTTGAGACAGGCAGAAGCTCAGCCAGGGAAAAGGGAAGAGTCAGAGTAGAGGTGAGAGATGAAGAGACACAAAGAGACAGATCAGAGACCCAGAAGGCAAAAAGGCAGTTAAGGCAGATGAGACACCAAAGAAGTAGGAATGGAAAAATGGGGGATGTGGGGGGGGTGATTTAGAGACCCAGAGGTAGGACAGTGCAAACAGAGATGAGAACAAGGGATCATAGAGGCAGGGATAGGAAGCAGGGAGACAGAGACACAGAGAGAACAAGACAGATACAGAGGAGGAGACAGGGAGAAAAAGTCAGCCAACTGTTTTTGCTCCAGGAGCCCCAGGGTTGAACGTTTTGGGAGGAGCTGGTAACCAGCCAAGGGGCCCAAATGGAGGGAGTGGGATTCAAAGTCCCAAGGCCCTGGAAATGGAGTGTGTGTGTGTGTGTTCAGGAGGGAGGAGGGCTTGGGCTGAACTCCTGGGTCTGAGGGAGGAGGGTTGGGGTCTGGACTGCTGGGTCGGAGGGAGAAGGGGCTAGGGTCTGGATCCCTGGACCTGAGGGAGGAAGGCTAGGGTCTGGACCCTGAGGGAGGACGACTGGAGCCTGGACCTCTGGGTCTGAGGGAGGAGAGGCTGTGGTCTGGACTCCGGGGTCTGAGGGAGGAGGGCTGGGGCTTGGACCCCTGGGTCTGAGGGAGGAGGGGCTGTGGTCTGGGCTCCTATGTCTGAGAGAGGACAGCTGAGGCCTGGACCCCTGGATCTGGGACAAGACAGGACAAGCGATCTAGATTCCTGAAGGGATATAAGAGCTTCTGGGTCCGGGTGGAGGAGGGGGCTAGGGGAGAGGGTCGGCTCCTAAGACAAGGAAAGGAGGGGGTCAGGAGTCGGGCTGCAGGAAATCCCCTGGGATGGAAAGCTGAGGCAGGACCCCTGGATGGGCGGGGTAGGGGACAGCGAGAAGGCTGCCAGGGGTCTGGGGGCCTTGGTCGGGGAGGGGGCCATCTGTTCTGGGCCCAGCTTGCGGCTTCCCGCTGGCATGATCTGCAGAATTGGGGCCGCGGGTCCAGGCCTTGCGAATTTCTCCGCTTGGGGCCTGGGGCTCGCTAGGCGCCCGGTCTTACCTCCGCCTCCTTCGCTCCTTTCTTCCTTCCCCGCGGCCGGCGGATCGCGGATGGTGGTGGCGGGGAGGGAGGGGGCCGAGCGTGGTGGGGGGTGTAGGAGGAGGAGGCTGGGCTCGGTGTCACTACCTAAGCCTTCCCCCCGGAAACCCGGCCTTTGGTTGGAGCCTGGAAGAGGAAAGACTGCCTGGGAAGCCGGAAGCGGAGGACCAGGGACCCGGGGGTGGCGAGGGGGAGCTGAGGGGAAGGCGGTTCTGCTCCTAGGGCGGGAGAGGGGAAGGGGTTGGGGGCCTGGCTTCTGGGGCTCCAGGGGGAGGAGGGGGCTGCAGGCCCGGGAGGCTGGATTAGCTACCCCTATTCTCCAACAGATAGACAATATTCATTCATTCATTCATTCATTCAACAAATACACATTTATCAAGTCCTGCCTGTGCCAGGCACTGTGTTGGGCAAGGGGGGAGGCGGGGGGAGGGAAATGAATGAAGAGACCTCAGAAAGTCCCCACATTCTGGATCCAGCCTTCCCTTGGCTGCCTGGACTAGTGGCTCTCCTTTCTCTGACCTCAGTTTCCCTCTCTGTGATAATCCCTGCAAATGGTTATTTACTAAGCACCTACTGTGGGCTCGGCTCTGTCCTTGGTGCTGGAGTGGCAAAAACAGAAGCCATTTGGGCCGTGTCTGGGAGATAAACGGTCGGATAGCATTACAGTGTGTTGGGGTGGGGTGGAGGGGGGGCAGATGAGGGTTGCTCTAATGCAGGAAAATGGATGCTGTGGAAATGCAGGGGACAGAGGCAACGAGTGGCACTCATGCTGAGACTGCAGAAGCAACTCCTGCAGTCTTCCAGGAAGCAACAATGTTTCAGCTGAAGCCTGCAGGATGGAGCCAACATGGCCTCATGTAGAGCAGAAAGGGTGTGTTGCAGGAGTATACCTGAGCTTGACTCTTGTTTTTCTTTAAGGTTAAATTCATGCCAAACATTGTTGGCAAAAGCATGAGCAAACAGTTCCTTTCCTATGTGGCTGGGGTGAGGAGAGTTTGGAATAGCCTCAATATCCCAGCAATTTCAGGAATTTATCCTTCAGAGAGATGAGAGACATGCAAGATTATGTCTGTACCAGATTAATCATTGCAGCATTGCACATCATTGCAAATGGCTGAAAGCGATCTACATGCCCACAGTAGGAGACTTGAGTAATAAAATCCTAGTGGATCCAGTGGAATACTATGTGTCCATCCAAAAGAATGAAGCAGCTTGGTGTGTGAAAATATGGACAGTGTCCAAGTGGTAAGTGAAAGGGAAGGTGGAAAAATGGAGGTGGAGAGCAGCCTGCAGCCTGCTGCTGCCTTCTTCAATAGATTGTACTGAAGAATTGAAAGAAGAGAGAAGCTGGCAACATAGTCTCACTTCCAGGATTGAAACTTGCTACACTCTATCCTTCTGAACTCCTTGAGTTTGAAACCATGTGAATGTTACACACACCCAAAAATGTAGAGGGAAAATAAGCAAGCAGAGATAAACACTATACATAAGACAAAAGTAGTAGCTTCTTCTTATAAGTGCTTTGCAAATATGAGTCCATTTATTTGAACTCAAGGCCTACATCTTGATCCAATCCATCAGCCCTATTTTTGTGATGGAGTTTTTCGAGATAGGGTCACATGAACTATTTGCCCAAGGCTGGCTTTGAACTGCAATCCTCCTGATCTCTATCTCCTGAGAAGCTAGGATTACAGGCATGAGCTACTGGCACCCAGCACTTTCTCCTTTCATAGAGGATGCGAATACCAGATGGTTTCACTAGTGAGATCAGTAAGATTTGTGACTTCACAAAGAGATAGAAGAAATAAGAGTGGATCGGGAGGGCAAATTTGTTTAAAACACTGGGACAGTAATACAATTTTTTTTTGTTTATTTTCTTTGCTGTAGATGGAACCCAGGGTCTTGAGCATCCTAGACAAGTGTTCTACCACTAGGTATATCCCCATGCCAGTAATACTTTATTTTAAAGGATGACTATACTTATCTATATCTATATATGTGTATGTACATGTATATGGAGTGAAAGACTAAAAATATCCATGGCAAATAAAAACACCAAATTTAGGCTATAGAGTTATGTTTGAGAAGAGGGAAGCATTCAGATCTTAAATGGGATCTTTGGGGCATCAGATGTTTTCTAATGTAGGCATTTTAAAGTGTAAATTTAGTAGCATTAAGTACATTCATGGGAGCTGGAAGTGGTGTTTGATGCCTGTAATCCCAGCACTGGTGAGGCTGAGGTAGAAGATCTGGAGTTCAAGGCCATCCTGGGCTGGCTACAAAGTGAGTTCAAGGTCAGCCTGGGCTACATAAAGAGATCCTATCACAAACTATCAAAAAGTACATTCATGATAATGGTGGAACCATCCCCACTGTCTGGTTCCCGAACCCTGTACCCATTAATCACTCATTGTCTATTCCCAGCGCCTCCCAACACCCTGGTAACAGATGATCTGCTGTCTCTATGGATTTTGCCTTTTGGGGACATTGCCTATAAATGGCATCATACAGTATGTGGTATTTTGTACCTAACTTTTTTGTTTTTTTTCCATAATAGGGATTGAACTCAGGGTCTTGCACTTGCTAGGCAAATGTCTGTTGGGCTATGCCCCCTATTCTTCTCCCTCTCCCTCTCCCTCTCCCTTTTCCTCCTTCCTCTTCCTCTTCTTTTCTTTTCTCTTCTCTTCTTTTCTCCTCCTCCTCCCTTTCTTCTTCTCTTCCTTTCTTTCTTCTTTTTTTTGTTTTTAGCTAGTGTCTCCCACTAGCTGCCATCCTCCTACCTCTGCCTCCCAAGTAACTGGGACCACAGTCATATGCCATCATGCCCTCCTTATTTTTGTTTTGTTGAGGCAGGGTCTCAATATGCCATTCCCATTTTAACAGCCTCCTCATAGGCTCCTCTTCTTCAAGCCCTCATGTCCAGTCCCCAACACCTACAAATGTCAACACCACTTCTGAGCTGACACAGAATAAAAACCAGACCCTCCCCCCACCCCCACACCTACACCCACAACCTGCCCTAGAGGCTCTGCAGGACCCTCACCAAATTTCTGACCTCCTTTTGCTTGGCTCTGATCTAGCCACACCACCTCCTTGCTCTTTGTGGACCCAGGGTCTTTACACTTCCCATTCCCCTTGCCTGGAATGCCCTCCCTCTTGATTTATTTCCCTAAATTTCCCTTCATTCCTTCTCTTTCCAGATCTCTTCAGAGACATCTGTCCAGTCCACCCTAGCTAACATGGCTCTCAAATCTCAACCATGTACTTACTGCAAACAACCCTTGGGCTGTTTCTGAATGACCCAGTGGTGGCTCATTTCCTCTCCTCCCACTAAGGCTTGGGGGCGTGGTTCAAGTGGTAGAGCGACCGCTTGGCAAGTGTGGGGACCTGAGTTCAAACTCCAGCACTGCCAATAATAATAATAATAATAACCATTCCCCCTCCCACTAGAACAGAAACTCCATGAAAGAAGCTATAGCTTTGCCTGTTTGCTTAACTGCTCTACCCTTAGCACCAAATATTTATGGGCAAATAAAGAGGGATAAAGGATGGGGTAGAATGAGGAGGACTCCGGCTTCGGGTACTAGGATGGGAGATGGGGGGCGAGACGGATCGGACTGAGGTGGTAGGAGAGGCGAATGTCAGGTGAACATGCTGGCAACTGACTCTATTGGTGGGTAAGCAGGAGCAGCGCCGGAAACCAAGGAGGAAATCGCCAACACCTGGTTAGTAATTACTGCCTTGGAGCAGATGGAGATTGCCCCTAAGGTAAAACATCCTTCTCCACCCCGCCTCAATTAGCACCTCTATAAGATGGGGCCACAGTGAGAAAGCTAGGTATAGATCACCCATTAGGGAGTCACTAGGATATATAGGATGAATCTTTTCCCCGCCTGGGAAGAACAAAAATTGTGGTGGAGGTGAGGTGGGTGGGAGCCTCAGCCTCTGGAGGTCCCTATTCATTACTCCCAGCCAGTGGCTTTCTCCATGACAACCCTGGCACCTTTCCAGGCGCTCAGAGCTCTAGGGCTGAGCAGACTGTAAGCCAGCCTGGGGTGGGCGGGTCTTGTCTCCGGGGGCGTAGCCTGTATCCAGGGGGCGGGCTTTGCTTCTCTAAGACCTGTGGGTTTTGTTTTGTTTTGTTTTGACCCCAAAGTAGTAAGTTTGGTTCCTGGTCCGTCGTTGCGGAGTGGAGAGGAATATCTCTAAGCTAAAGTCTAGCGTCCCCGTGGGCTCTGATTTTTGTTCCCAAGGGGTGGAGTCTTTTCAAATAGGCAATTGTGGATCTCAGCCAAAGTCTTCCTGAGCGCCACAAACTCTTACTAGTTTTCCCCTCTGAAAGTTTTTTTCCTTGTGAAATATAAAACGCACAGATAAAAGTGCACTATGCAAGCGAACTGAACAAATCACTATAAAAATGACACATCCCCCCCCAAAAAAGAAAAAAAAGTAATAAATACAAAGGGACCCAGATTAAGAAATAGAACGTCACCAGCTACCAGCAATAGTGGAAACTTTCCCCATGTCTCCTCCAGAGCGTTAACCACCCAAAACTTTGTAAAACGTGTTTTCCTTGCTTTTCTGTGTGATTCAGTACCCACAATGCCTCCTAAAAAAATGTAAGTTTAGTTTTGCTTGCTTTTGAACGTTGCAAGTGGTATGATACTCTGTGCTTTATGTATCTGGCTTGTGTCTGGCTTTGTCATAACTTTCACTCAAGTAGTTGTGTGCATTCTCATTCTCTGTAGTGTTCCTCTGCCTAATACATACACCATTATTTACCCGTTTTATTCGTGTGTGGTGCTGGGGATTGAACCCAGGGCAAGTGCTCTACCACTTGAGCCACTTCATTAGCTCACTTTGCATTTGTTGTTTTTGAGACAGGGTCTTACTTTATGCCCAGGCAGGCATGAACAGCAATCCTATTTGTGCTTCTCCAAGCAGCTGGGATGACAGGCATGCACCTCCATGCCCAGTCACTGGTTGAGATGGAGTTTCTGAAGCTGGAGGCATAGCTCAAGCAGTAGAGTGCCTGTCTAGCAAACACAGAGTTCAAACCCCATTAATGCCCTCCCCCACAAAATCCATGCACTTATTTCTCTTCATCCCCTGGTCCATCACAAGATGGCAGGAGCTCTCTGCTGCTCCTAGGCTGCTTGCTCCCATCTTTCTCCACTCAGCAATTGGAGGGCTGGTGAACTGCACAGGTTGTCACTTTCCTTCTCACTTAAAATTGCTTCCTGTTGCCCATGATCCAATGCCTACTTTGACCTCCCTGGCTCTGTGATCTGACCCCTGCCTACCTCTTGACCTCATCTCATTCCTCTGTCCCTGGGTTCACTCTCCATCTGTGCTTTCAGGCAGCCCAACCAGTCCCTCCTCACCTTTCAAAGCTCAGAGCAATGCCACCTCTGCAGAAAAACCCTTTTCTCATCTAACGTACCATAGCCTAGCCACTCACTATATCACTCTTCCCTTCTTATTGTCTTGAGCTCTCAAAACCATAGGAACTCACCTTCATTTCTTTGGATTCCTTGTTTCCCCATCTTCATTGCCCACAACCTAGAATATAAACTCCATCAGGGCTGGGCTTATCTATTTTGTTCCCTGTGGAATCCTCAGAGGGGGTTATAATGCCTGGCACAGTAAGTACCCAGTGTGGGAATACAACTGATTGTGCAGGAGGTGACCTGTTCTCTGATGTGCAGGTCCTGTCCCACTGGTCTCTTGGGGGTCTATTCAGTTGAAGAAAGCAAAGTGTAAAGGCCTCTTTCAGAGCTACTTTCAGGACAGTTTGGTTTCCAAAAGGCGTGACCTACAGGATTGATGGTTTCTAAAGGGTGTTCCTAGTTTCTAGGGAGTGTGGTCTATGTGTTGGTGATAGACCTTGAATTAAGGTACAGGGTTCCATTTAGGTGAGATTTAAACCATCTCTTATTTAGAAGACTCAGAACTTCTCCAACAGGAGTGAGCACCTGTTTATTTAGGGGGCCTCCCAGCTAGGATTACAGGCTGTGTGGTGGTGCAGGCCTGTAATCCTAGCACCCTGGAGGCTGAGGCAGGAGGATAATGAGTTTGAGACCAGCCTATACTATATACTGAGACTGTCTTAAAAAAGCAAGCAAGGAAACAAAAACACCAAAGAAACACTCTCCTCCCACCTAAAGAAAAAAAAAAAGGCCTACCCTAGCTTAAGTCCAGTAAGGAGAATCCCAACTCCCTGGAGCCCAGGATCAGAAAGACGCCATAGTGATTGACATGACAAGGTTTATTGGGGTCCTGGTGACATTAGGAGTGGGATGAGGGGGTGAGGTTGAGGCTCACAGGGGACCCTCCCCCCCAGCCAAGTTCCCCTTCCCCTTGGAGTTGGAACAGAGACAAATCGACAGATATGGAGAGGAAGCCCAACAGGTGCTAACAGTAGAGGGGGAGGGAACCCTGATGTCCACCACCTCCACCCGGATGAGGTCACAGGATGGGGAACAACGTGGACCATGGGTGGACCACACTCTACAGGATAAGGGAGTGTCTGTCCTATTCATTCTAAGGAGGGTGGGGCCAGGCCACAACTTGTACCAGCCCTTCCAAGCCGGCAGGGGGATGTGCATCTGGGTCAGTCCATCCTACTGGGCAGGGAGTTTTGGGACCAGTCTATTCTAGCATTCAGGTTGGGAAAGCTCAATAGGGTTATCCATTCTGCAGTGGGGAGAGGGAGACCTAATTGGAGGGTGATGAAGTCAAAAGCAGGGGGCATCTACCCTGGTCCTCTTTTCAGGGAATGAAATGGGGGGAAAGGCAGATTTCGGCTATATTTATTTTCCGGGGTCACCAGTGACTGGTGGGTAGATTTTGGAGGGGATCCAGAGATTTGGGGACATGATCCCCCCATTCCCCAGATAAAGGTCGTTGGGAATGATGGCTCTCAGGGAGTGGAGCAGTTGGCCCTCCGAGGTGTTCATGTCTTACTAGTAGACATGAGGAACTTGTGGAGACCCGCTTCTCATTCCCAGATCCCCACGTCTTAGAGGCTTGCTGATTTGAGGGTGCTGATTTTAGGAGTTTCAAGCTCGGGAGGTTCTGATTTTGGCCCCAACAATTATGTTCTTGGACCCCCTGGCTGAGGCATGTTTATTTGCGGTCCGGAGCTCAGGGTCTGTGTGGGTTCTGGGTGGCCCCACCTCTCCAGGTAGGGGTCTCATCTCTGGGCCTGGCTCTGAACTGGGAGGGAAGGCCAAGGCCTCCCTTCGTCCAGAGTCCAGTCCCTGGGTTGGCTGGCTAGAGGACCGGGCGGCCTGGCTGTTCAGTCCATGCCTCGGTGCAGCTTCAGGTGTCTGGAGAGATTGCTGAGCGTGATGAAACCCTTGCCACAGACGTGGCAGGGGAAGGGCCGCTCGGTGCCATGCAGCAGCCGGTGGCGCTTGAGGTAGCACTCGTGGCGGAAGAACTTGCCGCACTCGAGGCACGGGAATGGCTTCTCGCCGGTGTGCACCAGCACGTGCCGCTCCAGATCGCGAGGGGAGCGGAATAGCTTCTCGCACTCGGAGCAGCCAAAGATCTTCTTGCTGCTGCGGCCTGAGGTGGGCCTGGGCTCCCCTGACACCCCCTCTGGGGCTGTCACCACTTCCTCCTCGCCACCCTCTCCGTGGCTGACTCGCCTATGCTCTTCCAGGGCCCCCAACGCCGCATACAGAGCCCCGCAGTGGCCGCAGCCGTAGGTGGCCGGGCCGGAGTGCGCCTCCAGGTGGCTGGACAGGGCAGCTGCCGATGCGAAGAACGTCCCGCAGTCGCACTGGTACAAGGTGTCTTCCAACGGCTCGGCCACGGCTGCCGGGGCTGGGGCCTCCCCGACACTCTCGGGAAGCAACGCCCCCAGCTCGGGCACACCACCTCCAGTGGAGACCAGGAGCAGTGGAGCGTCGTCCCAAGATGGGGGAGCGTCGCCTGCCTCCACTGAGCCACCTTCACCAGCCATCTCCGGCCCAGCGACGGCCCCGGAGGCCCATACCTGCACAGGGATCGGGCCGGTTCCCTGAAGGTCATGCGTGAGCTTGTGGCGCTCAAGCAGCGCGGGTGCGTTGAAGTCACGCTCGCAGCGCGGGCACTTGAAAGGCTTCACGTCGGTATGCGCTGCCCAGTGGGCAGCCAGCTCGCGGCCATGGTCAAATCTCCTGGCACAGGCACCGCAGGCAAATGGTGGCAAGGAGGCCGCGGCTGCGGCTGCCGCTTCTGCCAGCCCCCAACTGGCCGCGCCCGCCCCCTCCAAGCCCTCTCCGCTGCCGCCGGCTCCTGTGCCCCCGCACACCGAGCAGGGCCCCACATTGCAGCAGACAGCGCAGGGCGCGCTCAGGGCGGGCAGGGCCGGCAGAGCCGGGCTGGGCTGCAGTGGAGACGGGTGCACCCCGCGGTGCTGGCGCTTGAGGTGGCGGCCCAGGCTGGAGCGGGAGGAGAAGCGGAGCTCGCAGACCAGGCAGCAATAGGGCTTCTCACCAGTGTGGACGACCTGCAAGGGCGAGTAAGGACACTGTGTCAGGGCTGACGTCTGCCACGCAACAGATCCTGGCCTCCCAGAGGAAGGTGACCCAAGCTCTCTGCCATAGCCCACAGGGCAAGATCCAGCCTCCACCCTGTTACTGCTTTCTGCTGTGAGCCACTTGGCATTCTCTTAGTGCTCAAAAAGGCCTACTTCCTTCCATCTGAGAACTGCTTCTGATGTTCCCACCAGGTGGGAAACTTCCTCTGTAAGTCTCAGTCCTTTTCAAGGAGCTCCTGCCACAATGGTTAAGAACTGGGGCTTTAGGCATTAGCAGGCCTGAGTTCAGTTCCCAGTTATGTGTTCCCTGTGAACACACAAGCAAGTAGCTTTCTATCTCTGGGATTCTGCTCAGAGTCTTACCAAGAGGCACAATAATATGGGCCATCTCCAGCCAGGTGTGGTGGCTCACACCTGTAATCCAAGCTATTTGGAAGGTGGGGATCAGGAGGATCATGGTTTGAGGACAGCCCAGGCAAAAAGTTAGGGAAACCCTATCTCAACCAATACAAAGCTGGGCACTGTTATGTGCACCTGTCACCCCAGCTATGGGAGAGGCATAAACAGGTGCTTTAAACAA